AACACGTAATGAAGTTGCACATATGAAAGCAAGAAATGAAGAATTAAATAATAGAATAAAAGAATTACAAATAAATATTACTCAAGAACGTGATGATGGTAAAAATTAATATTTCTTTCTTTTTATTTCTATTAAATAATTTTGAAAAAAAAAAAAATTTTCTTTTTTTCTCCCCAGGTAATCGTTTAATACAAAGACGTACAGCTGAAATAGAAGAATTACGTCGTAAATTAGAACTTTTACAAAAACAATATGAAGAAGTTACAAATATGAAAACATCATTAGAAAAAGAAATAACTACATATAGAGATTTACTTGAAGGAACAACTAATCGTGAAGGTCTTAAACAAATTGTTGATCATGTTCTTGAAGAAGCACGACGATATGAACATGAACGTGCAGCAGGTGGTATAGATGTTGCTGGTTCACTTTCATATTCAGGTGGTGGTGGTGGTTCAACAACAATTAAACGTACATATGTTTCATCTTCAGGATCAGGTACAACTAGTGCTGGATTTAGTAGTTCAATGGGTAGTCCAACCCGAATTAATACTAGTTATGGTGGAACACAAGGTGGCGGTGGTGTTTCATATTCACATACATCATCTCGCCGAGAATTTACATCATAAAATTAAATAATGACCTATGTGTGGTTTTTTTTTTTTTTTTAAGAATGGAATATGTTCAAGCTAAATGTTGTAGTAATTAATGTATATGTTCGATTATCTATATGAAATTGATAAGGAATAAATAAAGGCATTTACACACAATCTCAAATTTTCTGTTCTATTTATAAACCTTGAATAAAAGCAATTTCTTTCGATTACAATAGATAATATTTGATTGAATAGATATCGATTAAGATTTGACTGAATAGAAAATAAATGCATTCAAATAAATATGATAATTACTCAAGGTTTTTATATATGAACTTGATCTATTCGGATTTGCTTCAGGTTCATATTAAATTACAAACAAATAAATACCAACTGATATGAGATAGAAATGTTATATTTGCCTTGAAACAAGAAACTAGTTGACACTACTAAATCAAATGAGTAGATTTTGAATAACACAAAAAACAAAATTAAATTGACTTTGAAAAATAATACTAATAATTTTGTATGAATATATCGATATTTTAAAAAATAGATGACCTTGTAATTTTATTAAATGTATAAGTTAGAATGACAAAGAAAGTAAATTCTTATCAGTATGGATTATATAATTATGAGTTTATTACAATTATGAAATAGATATATAATGAATGGTCGCGTTTATGTATTTCATTTATAGTTACACTTTTTATATTCAAAATAAACAAAATTTCGACCTTGCAAACATTGATTGCACAGAATTTTACTGTTTTTTTTTTTTTTTTTTTTTTGAAAAAAAGTTACAACGATCTTTACAGTGTAAACTGTAGAGCTTTTCATGCTACATCTTGTGGTATGTTTTTTTCTTTCTTTATGAAGACACTATTAGAGAATAAAAAGATGAAAGAACAGAACAAAGAAATTTTTGATTTGTGTAGAAAAAAAAATGATTTTTTTTGTTTTTTTTTGAAACGATGAAAATTATTCGTACAGAATTTTGCTTATTATGAAAACAAATGGTGTATATATAAAATCAACTTGTCTTTGTAAATTGTAGAGCTTTTTATATTTCATCTTGTGATGTATTTTGCATTAAATATAACTTCAAGTGGTAAATAAGAAAAAAAAAACATATTTTTTATGTACAAAAAAAAGACTTTTTTCATATGAAATACAAAACGGTATCAACTATTCATTATGTTCTATCCGTTATGTATACATCTGTCTATCAATTCAATGTGTAATTTTAATATTAAAGTCAAATCTAATTATAAAATATCTTTAAAAAAATGCATATCTTAATTGAAAACAAAAAAAAAAAAAAAGTTATTTTTTGTAATAAGCAGTAAATGTCTTCACTAATGCATCATTGCCAAAAGTCATAGAACATCAAAGAAAACAAAAAAAAAAGAAAAAGGAAATCTTTGATATGAATATATTTGTCTATGCATGAAGTCTTCTGATTGATGGGTCTAACATTTTTCTTTCATTATAAAGTGTTGACAATGTATTAGGTACAAACTATTCTATTGGAACAATATATGTCTCTATTGTAGAAATAGAAAAAAAAAAAAAGAAGCCAGTTCCCCTCTTCAGAACTGAAACATAACATTACTATACAGTACAAGGTTGGAATATCTTGGTTTTGGTTCTATCTATTGAGTTGGTTTTTCTTTTTGGCTGAAGTGCTATAAGAAAAATACCTATGGATTGATCTATAGATAATTTTTCTTTTATTAATCATACAACAACATTAAAAAAAAGTAACTTATTTGATAAAAGTAAAATTGAGATATATATATATATTCGAAATTTTACTTCTATCATTTAGTTAATTATGACTTACCTTATAATATTCAATGAAAACAAAAAGAACAGATTTATTTAACATATGTCATAGATTATATGAAGTAATTTTCATATGAAAAGGTAATGTACTAAGTAAATACTTTTTTTTTCTCTAGGGAATAATTTTCCGAACTCAAAAAACAAAAAACTTTTTCCAAAAATATGTATATGAATAGATGTCCCGTAAGTCATTTAGCTAAAGAAAAATTTGAATATCTCCATTACAACTCGACCAAACGAGTTCATTTTTATTTTTACCAAGGATAGAGGCATGTTCACACTCCAATTACATACGGACAAGAGTATTGAGAATACGATGGACCTCAACAAGAAAATTTTATTTCACAGATGGGAAAAAACAATATACAGGAAACAGACACTTTATTGAAAAGAAAATTGAATATCTCTATTACGACTCGAGCAAACCAGATGATATATTTATCAAGGATAGATGCATATTCATACTCTAAATCCATACTGACAAGGTTAGTGATAGCTTTTGTTAAGAATATAGTACTTTTTTTCCTATCTGTCAAAAAGTAAAATTTTCTTGTTAAGGTCAATAGAGTGATACTTAACAAAGATTCTCAATACTGTTATTCGTATGGGTTTGGAATGTGAACATGCCTCTATCCTTGTTAAAAAAGAAAAATGAGCTCGTTTGGTCGAATTATAATGAAGATATTCATATTTTTCTTTGGCTAAGGACTTACGGGACACTCTATATACTTCTGAGACATTATATATACATATACACAGTTCGCTTTTTTTTTTATTAATACAAATAAAAATGATGATTATTTCTTAAAAAAAAAATTGAAAATAATAAGATCATTATTGTCGAACCATACGATCTCAATGATCAAAGATCATAAACAAAACAAAAAAAATCATCTTTATAGATTCTGTCGTTTCCATATGGATGAATAGACAAATGTCTATAGTGTTAAAGACATACAATTATGTTTATTCGCCTTCATATATATATATAGAACAAACAGTAGAAGAAGGACAGTTGCAGGCGTAAAAGATGATAATAGAAGCTAGTCTAGAGAGAAAATTTCTCGTCTATAGAACGATGTGCAATAAGAAACAATTTATTTCCTTTTTTATCTTGATAACGTCGTGGATATACACCCACTAATACTATGATTAGTATATATAAAAAAAAAAAAATTTTTTTTTGCCTAACGGCACTAAACAAGTATCTATTAGATATAATTTTGCTGATGTTTACCAAGATCAATTAGTATATGAATACACTGATCGACTATATATCCTAGCGGTATGTCATTTTTATTGTACATTAAAAAGAAGAAAAAAAAAAAAAACAATATTTGTCTATTTCGACAAGAAACATCCATATATTATATTACATCAATAATATTGATTTTGAAGATTTATGATATACATTTATACTAATCAATAATTGAATAAATTGTCCATGAGGAATAGTATAATAATGAAGTTAATATAATATATTATAGATTATTGTGATTTTTATTTAAGTATTTTTTTTTCCATTTGGGATATAAATTTCTATATCAACTATTATATTATAAAATAATCTATTTTCACTGTTGTAAAAACATATTTAGACATCGTTTAAAGATAGTTTATAAAAGATATTCTTCTTATGTTTTATATACCGTTTATTTTTCAAATAGAAATTATTTACAGTATATAATATTTTCTTTACTATATAGACTTATCTCATCTATCATTCTTATTTCCTATCATCAAATAAAGTTTCTACGTAGTAATTAAGAACTTCTTGACGTATAAATTTTCTTTTTTAACTAATGATAAGCTTTCAATCACCAATCTTAATATATATATATATACGTAAATCATTGAAATATATTTTATGATAATGAATATATATTCTATTAGTATGTTTCTTCATCTATTGACATTACTGTATAATCTTACAATGCATAGATTACATTCTTGTCTGATTGTAGAGTATAGACAAAAGAAAAAAAAATATTGTTGGTTAATATATGTATACAAATGACCTAAATAGACTAATTTTTGAAGAAATAATGTATATGTTGAAATAACATAAATATCAATAAGAAAATCATGCAAAGTAGTATGTCATTTTTCTTATATCGATAAAGTCTAAATGACCCCATTTTTTTTGCTTTTACAATATAAAAATGTTAATTTTACCGCAAATAATGTATTTTTACTTTTATTGTTCATAATAATGAATAATACAAGGCAAGGGGAAAAAAAAGAAACAAGAAAGAGTTATATTATTGTTCGTTTCTATATAGATCGATTAAGAAAAAGAAAGAAGAAAATCGCCTTCTTGTTATTTTCTGTTCGTGCATATGATCTTATTATTATTATTAACAAAAAAAAAAGAAAAATAAAACTTAAGGTTTTTCCCAGAAGAAAATCATTATATACTAATTCTTAGAAAGATCAGAATATTTAGAATTCTATTATCTAAAAAAAGTTTCTCGTTTATTTCTTTTATAAATCAGACAAATAGAAATATTTTTTTCATTATCAATCAACTATTCTTTGTCTTTAGTTTAACTATTTATGATTAGTTCAATGGATAATCATAAAACTTCTTCAATATTATCTCAAAAAGAAAATCAAACAGAAGAAGAAAAAGAAGAAATAAAAAAAATAAATTCTGATCAATTACAAGAAACTTCACAAAAATCATCAACAAAAAATATTGTTATAGAACATTTTAAAATCTCTGATATTCCAATAAAATCAAGTAGTAGATCAGCTGCTATTATTGAAATTGAGTAAGATTTGTTTCTTTATATTTATTTTCTTATCCTCTCATATAATAATATTCATCTTGTATTGGTTTTTTTTATATAAGGATACAATCTGATCCTTGATAGAAGTCCTAGTGTGTATATGTCATGGTGATATATCATATTTCTGACACTTTGTCTGTCTTGAATGATGTTTCATTATGAAAATAATTGTTGACAAGGATCAATAAATATACGATTATAAAAGAAGATACAAGAGATTTTATATATATATATATATAGAAATAAAGATCGATGTAGACCAATAGGTGATGACAGACAGAAATATCTGTTATGATCTATCATTGGAGTAAACGAAGTAATCTGTAGAATAACATAGATCATAATATATATTCTTGTCTATTATAAATCGTGAAGAGAGGATCAAAAGAAACTCATATATATATTATTGAAATAATTCCATTATGAATTTTATATATCTTCATAATTCCGGAGAGATTAAATTAAAAGTTTTTCTAATAGAATATAAAACTATTTCCATATAAAATTTATTTATTGATAAACAAAAAAAAATAATCAATAAGATGATTTATTCAAAAATATTTAAGCTAGATTGATCAACAATCTTGATTATTCAAATTGATTCTCTAAATTTAAATTAAACATTTGATATCATATAAACCATCGATTTTATATTTTTTTGAAAATGAATTTCTTTGTCTTTATAGAATGTTCAGTAACTCAATATCTTCCCTACAATTAATACTAGCTGTAGGTTTTGAATAGAAGGTCAGCCATATGCACAGTTCTTAAGTTTCTTACATACATTCACAAGAACAGATCTATGTCAGAACATAGTTAACATGCTATCGGAAGAATGTTCCTAAGACAAATAATCATCACTAACTTGTTCAGGGTCATTTCATACTTGGTGATATCAAAGTTTTTTTTTTTTTTGCATAGTAACTTTGTGAATATATGTCAGACAGCCGAGTTATTCAATTAAAAATTTTTCAAATATAATTTTTTTATGAAACATGATCTGATAATGTAACATTTTTAGAGAATAATATTAAAGTATGTTATTAAAAAAAATGAGATCTATTAATAATAGATAATACATGATAAAATCTATATATTTTCTTTTTCTAAGCGAAAATCGTAAACGTGAAAAACGTGAATTAAATAATCTCAATGATCGTTTTGCTTCATATATTGAACGTGTACGTTTTTTGGAAGCACAAAATAAAAAATTTCAATTTGAAATAGATGAAATACGGTAAATTGTTGTTGTTTTTTTGTTTGTAAAATTTGAATAAAACTAATTATAGTCAAAAATGGGGTTCACAAATAACTAAATTAAAAGAAATCTATGATAGTGAATTATCTGAAGCTCGTCATATTATTAATGATACAGCTAAACAACATGCTACAATTGATCTTCGTACTAAACATGCTGAAGAAGAAACATTAAATTTTAAAGACAAGTACATAACATTAAACACACACACACAAAACATCAATTATTTTTTTTTTTTAATAGATGTGAAGCATTAAGAATTGCAAGAGATTCTGATCATCGACAAATTGAATCCTTACAAAAACAATTATTTAATAATGAAGCAGATCTTGATCTATTTCGTCGTCGTATAAGTAAAATTTATTATAGATTTGTTTTTTCTTTTTAATTCAAAAAATTTCTATTTTATTTAGCTGATTTAGAAGATGAACAAAAACGTTTTAATATTGAATCTAAAAAACTTATATTAGATATTCAACGTATAACAAAAAATTTAGATCAAGAAATAATATCACGAATACAATTAGAAAATCAAAAAGAAAATCTTGAAAAAGAAATTAAATTTTTAAAAGAAATACATTTACAAGAAATAGATGAATTAAAACAAATTAATTTAAATAATACAATATTAGATTCAACAAAATTTTTTCAATATGAATTATCAAATGCTATTAAAAATATTCGACAAGAATATGAACAACTTAATGATCAACAACGACATGAACTTGAATCATGGTATCAAATAAAAGTTACACAAGCTGTAAGATTATGTTTTTTTTTTTGACATTTATTTATTTTTTGTTATGTTAGATAAAAGAAATACAAACAATTAAAAAATCTAAAATTAATTTTGAACAAGAAGAAATTAAAAAATTACGAACAATAGTTGCAAATTCACAACAAGATATTTCTACAATATGTCAACGAGTAAATTTTTTTTTTTAGTTGAATGTAATAAAAACAAAAAAAAAAAAAATGAGTAATATGAAATTTTTAGAATGAAGAATTAGAAAATCGTATTCGAGAATTAGAAAATCTTATTAATATTGAACGAAATGAAAATATTCAAATATCAAATGAACGTGATAAAAAAATAAAAGAATTACGAAATCGTCTTGAAGATTTAGAACAAAATTATAATGAACTTATTTCAACAAAAATATCACTTGATTCAGAAATTGCTATCTATAGAAAATTACTTGAAGGTGAAGAAAAAAGGTAATTAAATAATTCATTTGTTCTTTAGGTTTTTTTTCTTTGATAATTCTAAACTTTCAAATAAAAAAATTAATTTAGAGAAGGTTTAAAACAAATAGCTAATAATATTAAACAACAAATACAAACTAAATTTTCTGTTAATAATAATGTATCAACTATGCATTCTCAATCCTATCAAAAAACAAATGATAGTCAAGGTAAGAAATTATGCATGTATATATGTTTTATTCTTTGTTGCATGTTATTTAACATTATATGTTTTTAAATATTGATTATAATTTATCCTTCAATGTTGTAATGTGTAGTTACCGTTTTTTTTTCTTATATTTAATAAAAAACAAAAAAAAATATACTTATAGAAAATCAAGATCGATCACATGATGATCATGAAAATTTACTAAACAAAGAAATATCTAATTTATTTCCAATATCATCATCATCATCAACATTCGATAATAATATTCAAAATAATAATAAATCGATACAAAAACCTATGCATGAAGAATCTATTCAACTTGAAGATTTGAATGTATCATCTGAACATAATTCTGGCTATAATTCATCAATAGAAGATACTCATTAATAATATAATCATTTAATAATTTTCTTAAATAAACTAATTCTATTTATCTATCAATTTTCTCACATTCCTTTTTTTTTTTTTAGTTTACTCATTTATTTATTGTATTCTTCTATTCTTTTTGTTTTTTTCTTTAAATACACATAGTTTTAGCATTATACAAAGCATGATTGAAGTGCATGAAAAAAAAAACCGTCAAACTTTTATTTTAATAGAATATATATATATAATGTGTTTTTTCAGGTTTTAATCATAAGAATTCAATATTGACATCTCATGTACCATTTCAAAATTTATCATCAATTCAAAAGGAATCAACAATTTTTGAACGAGTATATGGTAATCGTCGACGACGACCATATACAATTTCTTTAAATCTTCAATGGGAACCTGTTATTTATCATACGAATACATATAAACAGAGTGGAAATGATTTAAATAATCGAATATTAAAGACAAAGACTTTTTTCGATAATTGTGCAATACGAGAACAACAACAAACGAAAGCTATTACGCCACCCAGTTCGGACTATACTGATGCATATTTATCTGCTTTCGCTCCGAAATTAATTCCTACTAGACGTATTCATCGATTAACTTCTCCTATATTTGCACATGTTAAACCAATTCCACTCGAACCAATACGAACATATTTATCAACAAATGATAAAATTAGAACGAGTCAAACTCGTTTTAATAATATTCAAAATTTAAATTTATTCGATAAAAATTTACCATTTTCTTCTAATAGAAATTCGACTTTAACATCGAATTTCTTTCCAAATATTTCTACTAAAGATGAACCGTTTTCTAATATACAAACTTTTTCATCCGAAACTCAAACAATTGATTCTAATAATTCAACATCAATTGATCAACCATCTTTACCTAAACTTTCTACTACTACTTATCAATTTGAATCATCGAAAGACAATATCGATAAATCTATATCATATCCATCTAGACCTTCGACATTATCATCATCATATAAACCTTCTATATTATTTCAATCTGTATCATCATCATCATTGTCGAATGATATCAATTCGAATAGTATTAATAAACAAACAATATTATCATCTTCAAATATTGAAAAACAAATCGAAACATATTTATTACAAAATAATGAAGAAAATTCTTCTATAATTCATATAAAAACAAATATTGATCCTGAACAAACACCAACAGATGAATTATTAACAATATCTTCTAAACCTATACAAATTCTTGAAAATACAATTAATGAATATGATTCATTAATTAATCAAATTTCAGATATTCTTGCTACTGTATCACCATTAAGTTCTACTGTTAGTAGTATGAGTCCAGGTCAGAGTGTACTTGATTATGAATTTACTGCAGATGGTTCACCAATTCTTAAACGTAAAAATATTGAATCTCAATTATCTGAACAACCAATAGTATCAATTACAAATATGAATAGACAACATGAAAAAGCAAAATATTTAATACGTGATGATTCATATGATAAAATTATTATTGCTATGGAAGATCTCGATAGTGAACTAACACCACCACCACCACTTCTTGATATTCAAAAATCAACAATAACAATTGAACAAGAAAAAAATGAAAATATAAAAACACTCTTAGACGAACATCAAACGTTACCATCATCTGAACAAATTCAAGAAGAAATTAAAACTTCTTCATTACTTAATAATAATCATGAAGAATCTAAAATTTTATTAATCAATGAAAAACAATTATCATCAATAACTAAACAAATCGAAGACGAACATTCAATTTCATCTATATCATCATTAAATGAAATTAAATTAGAAAACACTAAACTTTCATCCAATAATGAAATTTATACAACAAATGATAATATAGTCTTAGATAATGATGATGATGATGATGATGATAATAGTTCATTATATCTAAGTCTTACAGAAGAAATTAATTCATCAAAAGCTTCAATTATAATTTCTGAAGATGAATCTAAATCAATTGATAAACAACAGATAAATACATCTAACACTGAAGATAATCAAATTATTGTATCAAATTCTATTGAACAACAAATCAAATCATCTAGTCCATTTGAAATATCAACAAGTTTTTCAAATTCTATTGAACAACGAAGTACATCTTCAGATATAATTGAATCTCAATCAAGTCATAGTGAACATACATCAAATTCAATAAGTTCTACTAATATTAAATTCATATCTGGTATTGATACTTCTAATCAAAAAGATATTAATCAACAATTTGAAGAAATCGAATCAAATAAAATTAAAACTTCTACAGAATTTGTTGATGATACAACTAATCATCTTAAAACATCAACTATATCATTACTACCAAATATAATAAGTCCAATTGATACACTTACAAATTCTATTAGTACTCGATATATAAGTAGTGATGTCTATTATGGTTATCAAGGTGAACATAGACAATTTATAGAAGTAAGTAAAGAATGTAAAAAAAAACAACATGATTTGAATAATGAATAATTTTTTCTGCAAGAAATATAATTTTGTTTTCCTAAAGTTTCTATCATCGAGAATTTAATAATAATATTATATTTCTCATTATATTCAATAGAATTTGTCAAATGTCAATAATGACAATACGATGATATCTCTTTTGACTTCACTTCGTCAAACTATTAAAAGTCCTATTACACCACTTATTGAAACAATTCAAAGTGTCGTATCAAGTATGCAAACAATTACTACAATAGAACCATTGATAAATGAAAGAAAATTGAAAGAACATAGTCAAAATGAAACTATAATATTAAATGAAATGATTTTAAATTCAAAAAAAGATATTAATGAATATGAAACTCATATTGAAGAAGTAATACATAATTAATCAATTATTTTGTCCTATGTTTATGATTATTTTTTTAGAATAAACAAAATGTTCATATTCCCGATGAATCAAAATCAGTATTGAACAATATTTATCAAACAGTTACAGAAACTATGGAAGCAATATTAACAAATCTTCAAAAAGAACAACAAGAAATTTTATCAACATCGAATAAAGACCAAATCTTCACTGAAGATGTAAAGGTACTTCAAATTTATTATTATCAATAAACATAGTTCTATAATTATTATCCTAGGATTTAACTATTCTTCAATTATCACCATCTAAGGATAATTTAAACGAAACTACATTAACACTATCGTCTTTACTTGATTCTATTCAAGAGAACGTTTCAGATACAATACCAACATTTATTGAAAACATTCAAAATATAATACCTACAGATCTATCATCAACACAAATTCAAAAATCAAAGGAACACATCGAAATATCTACATCATTGGATATTTCACATAAAAAATCATTAGAAAATCTTATGAATGAATCTATTAGTTTGACATCTGAAATTCCTGTAGTAACTAATGAACAAATAGAACACAAAGAAAATATTATAACATCTTTCGAAATACCAGTGAGTTCTTTTTTTTCCAATCAGAGAAATAAATTTAGTAAATATACAATTTTAGATTCAACTATCTACTGAAGATAGAACAATTGAAACTGATACCATACAATACGATGAAAAAGTATCAACAGATAAAACAGAGAACAAAACAATTGAAAATATCTTACCTACTCATATCATTCAAGATGAACACGTACCTAAAACCTTAGTATGTAATGATATTTAATAAGAACAAGTCACAAACTCAATTCTTTTTAGAACTTAACTAATTCTGAACAAATGACCAATGAAATCAAAATATCTTCGGATAATACTATACAATCATTGATACCGATCGCTGAGAAGATCGATAGTGTTATATCTTCTGTATCCACCGAAGAAAATCTACCATTACTCGAACAGGTAATTTAAGTTCGACAAAAAAAAAATTTTTTTCTTCTTAACGACTTAGGATTTCATATCGATGTTAATACAAATTTGTCTAACTTAAATCATTTCTAATTATTTCATTAAAGGTTTCTGATAATGAAAAAATAGCTTCACTAGTTACAGATTCATTCGTACATACACCTAATGTAAGTAATTCTGAGAACAAAAAAAAAGATACATAACTATTTTCAACAAAATGAATCATGTTAGATGTTAAACAACAGTATTATAGACTGCAAAAATTGCTATTTATTATTTTTAATTTTATAAAACAATAAATTTTAAATAATTTCTTCATTTAGAATGAATTAACTTTAGAAATAAATGAAAATATTCTTAAAACTGTTCATAATTTAATCGATGATATAATTCATACTGTTATATTACATTTACAAGAAATTCCTATTTCAGATAAATCAATAATTGTACAAGTAAAAATTCAATGGTTTTTTTTTTGTTTTTGCAATTCATTTTAAAATAATTCTACATATATTTAGATTGATAATATTATGCAACAATCAATCAATGAATCAGAATCTGATTCAGTACGTAAATTCTTTTCTATCAAAAACTAAAAGAATTTCTAATTTTTCTATTTTTTTTTAAAGACATCATTTAAAACTGAAATTGAAAATATTCAATCAAAATTAATAATTGATCGTTGTGAATCATCTGGAACAACTACAGAACCAAATTCATCAGAATTAGTTCATGCTTTACGTGGTCATAGTATTATTCTACCTAATATAATATTTCGTCCACCAGAAAAATCTTCTAGTTCAACAACAACATCATCACAAGTAACTAGTTCTGATCGTTATATTTCTTATGCAATACATCAAATGAATGATTCATCACAAGAACATTTACCAACAATACCATTAGCAGCTGATATTCCTATATATAAAAATATTTTTTTAAAATCAAACAATATTATTAATTCATTAATAACAAAAGAAGATGATTCAACAGAATATGATGCAACAGAAAATTTAACATCTTATACTGATGATATACATGATCAAAAATTTAATATATTAAATAAAAATAAACAACAACATTTAGATACAAGTAGTACAGATGATGATGTTGATGAAGAATTTGAACAACATGATTTAACTAATATTAATCAATTAAATAATAATTTAAATGAAAATAATGAATCTTATCAATTTTATGATCCAGCAACATCACCATCAAGTAATAATAGTTCATCATCATTACGACAACAATCAGATGATGTTTATCTTATACCAGGATATCCTGGTTTATGGAAACCATCAACAAATAATTATAATTCAAATTTACCAAAAGAATATGATGCAGATGATGAAAGTAAAACAACAAGTGAAAATCAAGTATGTCATTTTACAAAATAATGTTTATAACAAAAATTTAAATTTTGAAACATTTTCATATTGATAAAAACTAAGTAGATCCCTACCGGATCTACTTTTCGTATGATCATAGGTTTTTATATGACGAAATTGTAGATCTTAGAATAAGTTACATAACTCTCACATTAAAGCAAAATGAATATTATACCTTTTTGTGTACTCAAAAAGTGAGTACACTCTAGAATCGGTCAGTGTGTCCGGCCGTCCGTTTACACGATAACTCTTCACAATTACGTTCGATTGAGCTGAAATTTTGTGCACAGAATTGTCTCATCAATATCTCGGTCGAGTTCGAAGATGAGAAGGACCCGTCAAGAAATGGCTGAGTTATTGAAAAAATTGTCATTATTGACCAGACCATCTCTGAGGGGGGGTACAGGGATTTTTTCAAAAAAAAACAATTTTTCTCAGAATTATTCACAACATATATAAATCGACTCAGTTTTTAACGCTGATTCTGAATCTGATATTAGTTTTGAACCAAATTGTAGCTTTCTAACAAAACATCGCCTGAAAAAGGTCTCAAAATGCACAAAAACTGCATCCAGAAAGCAAATTGCCTAGATATGTCTCAGATGATAAAAAAAACAAAGTGAATATACCTGTTCACTTTTTGAAGTACACATAACACTCGGATTTAAATCCAAGGTTTTCGCATTTATTTTGAGAACTCAAACTAATTTGTCAATTGATGATTAATCAAATTTTTATATAAATCTCCTATCTTGAATGATGAAAATCGTAGATCTTGCCGATTTTTCTCTCCAAATTTGTTGAAAAAATACGGATGTATATTTTATTTCGAAATGGTTACTATTGTTCGTTTCAAAATATAATGCGCTTCACTGTTTTTGAAATAACTTAAGATTCGAAAGACTTAAATAACTGCGGTTTTCACCAGTCGATAGAGAAGATACGGAAACATCTTTTTCTCCAATATTGTACAAGATGAAATCATTTTAAAATCAATCGTTTTTTTATAAAACATCGAAAAAATATACAAAAATGATCTGTTGTCCTGATAAAATTTTGACAAAAATGAAGAAAAATCCATATTTTTCAAGGAAACAAATATACAGTTTAATTTGTTTAACATTAGGATGTATGAAGATAATCATTCGAATTATATCTTGAATTATAAAATCGAAGTCTCTCGATCTAAATCACATATAAAAAACAAATATAGAAGAAAAAGATGTCCTCATATCTACTATATCGACTAATAAAAACCGCAGCTCTTTTCATTCTTAACTTATTGCAAAAACATTATATTTTAAAACGGATAATAATTATTTGATATTAAGAAGTTTTGTATATAACAATTTCCTATAATAAAATAATGTTTTATGAATTAATCATCTGGAAAAAATTTCATTCAACAATAAATCAATTTATATTGAAATATAATTACATAAATCTTATCAAAGACATTAATACTTCCATAGTGTAGAATATGGCAAGAAAAAAAAAACATCCAATAAATGCCGATAGAGTCCTTCAACATGCATTAAGAAAAAGACATATTGTGATTGTAATAAAGAGGGTATATGTCGACCCAGATCATAGATCAAATGAGCGCAACAATTGTTAGAATCTTTTCTTTGTTCGGAACTAGAACTATACTTGTCGACCTTTAGTAAAGAACGAAAAAAAAAGAAAGGATATAAATAGTTTAATTTATAGATTATTCAACATTCAATAGGAATGTATAATTCATTTTGATTTTATTCTTTCTTTGATCAACGTCTATGTTATTTAATAGATACTTGGACTTACATAAAAAAGAAAGATATATATTAATAAAAGCAAACAATACGAACAATTCTCTTATTTATTAATTTCATTTTAGAGATAAAAAAAAAGAAAGAAGAGTTTTTGAAATAAAAACATTATATTCACTTGATTATAAGTATATAAAATTTCGACCTTTGATTTTTTTTTTCTATTCACTAAAAATTTAGATTATATAAAGTGATATTATTTTCTACAGATATTTGCCGTTAAAATCTATTGGGAAATATGGTTTACAATTATAATTTAACTTAGCAAATTTAAGCATTTTTCTTTCCGACAAATTGTTTTTCTTATATTATTTCATCAAATAATTTGAACCTTTTTTAATGAATAAATCGATTTTTATTATTAAATTTTAAAATGTAAAGTATCTATTTAATTCAATATTCATTAATATGTTGAGATAATTTTGATATATAACATTGAGTACTATAAAATAAAGTCGTAGGTACATTTCTACTAATGTAATCAAACAAATCAATTAGTTTAAATTAGAAAAAAAAATATTTCTACAAAAAAGGAAAATATATTCATTAATTTTCGATATTTGGGTTTATAGGTCATAAAATAAAGTGTTATATATGAATAGTTTTATCGTCATGATGAATTCTCATATTTAAATATTAATTATGAATAATAAATTATTTCCCAACATAGAAAATTTTTCATTTATGAAAAATCCCCAATACTTTTATAAATATTCAAATAATTTCAATTTATAATGTCGAATAATGAAACATTTTGGAAGCTTCAGGAAATTTCTATTGTTCGAAAAAATTTATTACAACAAAGTACTTATTGAGTGTTTCTCATATAATAGAAAATGATGGAATATTTGATGACATATTTTCAGTATTATAATCTATTATAACGCAAAATTTCTTTTTACTCATCAACACTATTGTTTTTATGTATTCTTTAGACTATTATTCGAACATTACATTCTACTAAACGTCCATTAGTATTTCAACATATTCAAGATGAAACAATAAATTTAACTTATCCAGAAATTTTAACAAATAATATATCATTACAAACAGATATAATAGATTTAATTAATCAATCATTAGATGATAATTTATTAGATAGATCCGAATCGGATACATATCAAACATGTCAATCATCAATATCAAAATATAAAAAAAAATCTAAATTAAATGAAATAAAAACATCTGATGAACAAGATCAAACAAGTACTGATGAAAGTATTTTTCTTATACGTGAACGTGAACGTGGTGTTTCATTACCAATTACAATGAAAATTGATTGTGATGATATAGCATTACGTTTATCAACATCTACACCTATTGATAATCCATTATTATATAAAAAATTATCATTTGATTTATCATCATCAACTCATAGTGAACCACCATTATTACCTATTCATATAGATTCAAATAGTCAACCAAGTTCATCATCATTAAATAATAATGAAAATGAACAACAAAAATTACCATCATGGTTAAATACAGTAACAACAACTGGAGAAGAATCTAATGGACGTATGTTATTATTTTATTGATAAATATTCTTAACTGTTAGTTATTTTTTTTTTGTTTCTATAGAACGTGAATCTCGTATAACTTTTCTTAAATCTGCAAAAGGTCCAATATGTATATCACAATGTAATTCACAAGGAAATTATATTATGATTGAAAATACAAGTCAATCGAAAAATATTGATCTTTCAAATTGGACAATACGTCAAGAAAATGATAATGGAGATAATTTAATTTTTATATTTCCTGATAATTGTTATTTAGGACCAAATCAGTCACTAAAAGTAATCAAATACTAATCATTTTTGTTTCCCATTCATATTGATTAATTTATTCTATTTTAGATATTAACAAAAACACATGAATTGGAACAAACAAATAATGATCTTATAGCTTCATCATTGTCTTCATGGCATACAAGTCCTAATATACTTACAATCTTATATAATTCTGAAGGCAAAGTAAGTTTTATTTAACAAAAAAAAAGAAATATTATTTTTTTTTAAATTGAAACATAAGATTATAGTTTTACTATTGAGAAATTTCAACGAATTCTTAATTGATGTATTTTTTTTATTTTTCTATTTTAGGATCGTTCGACATTAATCAAGAAAACTATATTCTCTTGATTTCTTCTTTTTTTTTTTTTTTTTTATTTTTTATTGTACACATATCATCGATCTTGTTTTTTTTTCAATTACGCACATTGACAAAGAAATATTTGTTTTCTTTTTGCTTCATTGTTTGAATGATGAGAGGAAGAATTTCTTGTCAACATTAATTTTTAAGTATAAAGCAAAAAAAACAAAAAAAAAAGAGAGAATGGAACGTTTATATATTTATTCGATAGCAATATAATATTTCTTATCAATAATCATTAATATTATTAAATGGTTCATTTACAACATACAATATAAATGGTAAAATAGCCGGAAAAAAAAAACTAATTATTTCACCGTTTAGAAAATCAATAATAAATGTCAACCAAGTGTGTTCTATATCTATTATTTAGCGTACTTCCTTCTTTACATTACATAGGATTCTCGAATGACTAGTGACAAAAAACAAAACAAAACATTTTTATTGATATCAGTTGATCATGATATGATATTGAAGAAATATTATTTTCTTGTAAACATAAAAATCATGAAATTAAAACAAAAAAAAGAAAATTCTTTTCTTTTTCAATAACTGAGACATTGACAATTCTTCATGTCTACATTTATTATTTTGAAGTATTTTATAACATATTACGTAGGTTGTAGGAGAATGAAGGCCATCGTTGGTTTCCCAATAGTATAAAAATACTTATTTTTTTAGTCCTTAGACATTACTACGTTAATTAAGATGAATTAAAAAAAAAGCCTACACAATCATTACGTAGTAGTTATCGACAATGATGAGCATATTGCTCATGTTTTTTTGTTTTACCAAAAATAAATAAGAATTAATAACTAGAAATACGAACATGTCATTTGTTAAAAATAGTCATATACTAAGTCGTAGAATTCAATTAATATCAAAAAAAAAAATTGATGAATTAGTTATAATACTTATTATAACATCCATCATTTAAATCCATTTGATTAACAACTCACTCAATGTGATGAGATAAAGAAAAACGATTAATCATAAAAGACACTTGTTGTTCAAATAAATATTACTTGAAAATATGTTGTCAATTTTTGAATAGAAATTTAAATTAAAATATTTTTCAATGACTTATCAGTTGTCTATCAAACTTATATATATATACACATTTTATTTTGATATATTTTCTTAGAAGAAAATTCTTTTTTTTTTTTCATTATTTTATTAATAATTCTTATTTTTCAATTTGATGAAAATTAATCATGACATTGATTTTGTTTAAAATAATGATATTTTAATTTTTTTTTTAGATTTATTTGAATAAAGCAAATATACTCATTTAAACATTTACAGAAGAAGAAGAAAAAATAAAATAAAATAAAATCAATAAAGACATTAATGTTTCCCAAAAGAAATGAGCGATGATCTTACATTAACACAATTGTTTTGTGCACTTCAAAAACTAAATAATTTTTTTTTTATTATATATGATGTTTAATACTAGTTCCATTACTAACCGATGAATCAGTTGATGTTCGACATCGTAAAAGTCGAATAGCAGCTGGTGATACTCGTCGTTGACTATAACTATTGTCAGTCATTTGATAACTTATATGATTTCCTAAATGACGTCGATCCATTGATGTTTGTACTGTAGTATTTGTTAAATGCATTTTAATTGCAATACTATGAAATAAACGTTTAAGTTCATGACGAAATGCTTTACCCGTTATAGCATAAAGAAAAAAATTAATCTTCGAAAAAAAACAAAACAAGATAATTAATTCGGTTTTTTATTTTTTAGTTAAATTAAAACTTACACAATGATTTGAATATTGTAATGTTTCACATAATGGTTTAAGATAAAGTTGAGTAAATAAATTATTATTTTGTTGTTGTATATTTGTATATATTTGTAAACAAACCATTGGAAATGATGTTAATAAAAAAAATACTGTTACAGCTAAAAGCATTGTTGTCAGTTTTCTTGACATTGATGTTGATAATTTACTTTTATTTCGATTTCTATGTGATTGATATATTCGTAAATTTGATGTTGAACGACGTGCATGAAATAAACTAAATACAATAATTAAATTTATTGTTAATAATAATATAAATGGTAATGCTGAATAAACAGCAGCATCTATCCATGGCCATATACGTTGTATAAAAAAATCATAATATTCATGTGATGTACATTCATTATCCGATGATAAATAATGTGTAAATAAAAAATGTATATTTATTATTAAAATACATAAAACAAGTATACAAACAGATATTCTTGCTCGTCGTACAGTACATATTGAACTAGCATGTAATGGACGTGTTACAGCAATACAACGATCGGCTGACATCATACAAACAAGCCATACACTTGTATCCGATACCGTATAAAATAAAACTGAAAGTATTTTACAACCATATGTTGATTGTAATAATAATGACCATTTACGATTTAATAAATAAAGCCACATAACAGTTAAACCAAGAAGAAGTACACATGTATCAGCTATAGCTAATATACCCATATAATAACATGTTGAAAGATGACACATACGTCGACGTCGCATAATAACAAATATTAATGTATTACAAATGACACCAGTTAATACCATACATGGAAATAGTAGAAAAGAAATTTGACGAAGTAATGATGACGATAATGGTATTGTCGTCGTATCATTTGATTTTATCGTTAAATTAACACTTGACATGTAAGAATATTCCTGATGACTGTTTATTGAACATGATATTATTCATTAACTAGAATATAAAATAGAGATTTATTGATTCTCTCTCATTCACACACATATCAACTTTCTCCTTCTTCCTTTTCTTTGTGTTCAATTACATTCATTCCTATTATCGATAATATTCTCGAATCATTTTAAGGAAAACATCTTAATGCGACCACTTTTAACGAACAAAGAATAAACGAGAGAAATCATTATATGTGAATGAAGAGATCGACGATAAAAGTTTGCTTTGAAACTAACTAGGGTCAAAATATGTAAAAAATAGAAAAGAAAAATAGGAATCAATAGTGCTCCGCTTTAACTTAAGTCATTGGTATATCGACGTATGTGTCGCGTCCCTTTTTTTCTTCTTCTTCTTCTCTTTTTGATTATTTCTAGTTTTCTATATATTCTCTATCTTTGATAAAAAAGAATTTTTTTTTTTTTGTGACAACAAACAAAAACAAGGGCATATTTTATAACAGAACAACGATGTATGCTCTTGTAGTTGTTCTCTATTACTCTTATATTCATCTATAACAAAGAAAAATCTATTAGCATAATACAATACGAAAACAATACACCTGGTTATTTATCTTCTTTCGTTTTTTTCTAGAATATCATAAAACGAATATAATACTATCATCTTAGTGTAAAACAAACAAACTGAAAGAAAAAAGAAAATTTCTAATCGAATGATAATAAAGATAGGCTTCATTTAGTTTTGTTTTCTTCTACGAGACTCGTCTACAAATATGATTCTCATATTAGTTTCAGATCGACACATTTTATTTTCTATCGTCTTCATCATCAATATTTGATTGGTGCAAAAAGGGAATACTATTCATGATAGTTCTATTTGAAAATACGGCATATTATAGTCTGTCTCGTTTTTTCTTTAGGTACTATTGTTGATCATCAACAAAATATATATATATAACGATGTTGTAAATTAGGATTCTGATTTCATATTAAAAAAAAGAGAGAGAAAGACAAAAAAACAAAAGCCTAAGAACAATGGAATGAAATTCAAGCTGATTATGATGTAGCTAGACGATGGCAAAAAACAGATCAGAGTTAGTGATATATCCAATTCTGTGTTACTGCTTGACACAAGATGATCACCATAAAAGAAATGAAAAGATTGAATAGATGGAAATAGAAAGCAAAATAGATATTTTAAGAAATGGATCCTTGGGACTTCAATCAATTATACACAACAAAAAAAAATTTTTTTGCTATAAAATCTGAAGTATTAATATCTAAAATAAACTCAAATCAAAATTTTTTTCGTCACAAAAAAAAAAAGAAATACCTGTTCATGAAATTTATATAATATTAACCATAATGGATGAAACTACTTTTATTGTAAATAAGATGAAAAGAAGATCTGACTTATATTGTGTTATGATGCGTAAAACACACGGCACGAATGATAAACATCATGACTTCTATTTTCATACTTTCTCTATTACAAAAAAAAAAAGGTATAACAGATTATTATAGTATGAAAGAAAAAGACAAGATACAACCTCTTTACATTACAATATTTGATAGTGACTAATAATTTTATTGCACTAAGAGTAATATTTTATAATTATATAGAAAAACAATGTTTCTTTTAATTTATAAAAGATAGAATCAAAAAATGAATTGATGTACTGAACGATCTTGAAAAACATTTTATATGATATATTCTCTTTTATGAACTTCTTTTTTTAATTAAAATTTTAACACTTAAAAAAAGTAAAAAAAAAAAAAAGAAGATTTTCAAAAAGAATTATATATTAGTGTTATTCTATTGACATGTTTTTTGTATGATAAACTAATAAACTTATATAATCAAATAAAAATACTATATTGTATATCAATATGGATGATTTTCGAAGTTATAGTTATGGAAAACTAGTGATTTTTTTTCGTTTCCATTGAAAAGCATTGTTTATAAGTTTAATGAATACATATATATATATCTATAAATTTTTATTATATTGTTCGGTTATGTCGTCTTTCTAGACGAAGAATTTTGTCATGAACAAATTTTTAGTATTGAGAAAGAAATAACAATATTATATATTTTTGTTTTTTAAATTGATTTATTCATAAAGTCTTTCTCGTTTTTCTATAGACTTATAATCCTGTCT